AATTACTTCTCATAAACTTATAGGGAAGTTCACTTTAAAATGGGATAGGCCATATGTCGTACAAGAAACTTACTCAAGTGGGGCTTACAAGCTGGTTGATGCAGATTGCATGAGAATCGGCCATATCAGTGGCAAGTTTTTGAAGAAGTATTATCCTTGAAGTTACAACGCTCTTTGACGCCTGAGCCTAAACTGGATGTAGCAACACTCCTGGACCGCATGAGTCTAAACTATGTACGGACCCATAAAAAAAGAGTCCGCTAGGTTGAAAACTTTGAAAGAGGCGGCTTAGGCAAAGTTTAGGACATAAAAAAAATCACCCAATTTGAACTACCGCATGACTTGATCCTCTTCGCCGAGGTACGTAGGCAGTTTAGAGTTTCATTCTAAGTTCAGTCGCATAAGATCAAAAGATACATATTGCCTCAATTGTTGTTCGAATGAAGTATGAAGGAATGTAAGATCAAGCTGAAATGTCATCCTCCTATTGAACTTTGATCTCATTTGATTTAAAGGGAGCAACCCTCCGTGGTAAATTGATATCTTCAATTGAGCAATTTTAGGAGGATGTCAAGTATTTGCATTGAAGTCCAGGGATTCTTATTTCTTCAGGTACGCCAAACCTTCAAGTTTGTTGGTCTCCAAGTCTGCCCTCTACCTTAAAAAAAGGGAAGAGAAGAGAGGCGTCAAAAGGAAACACAAGTATAAGGAAAAGATTGTTTGGTACAACGTTTCAAATTCGGCGAGACTTGAACCCAAGATATTTGTGAGAATATAGCTCTTAAATTTCGATTGATGGCAAGTAAGACATCTTCCGATCTTGAGGCTTCCATACCAAGATATGAATTTTTTGGGGAGACTGCGCAAATCTGGAATTGATAGCGTGGTGCAATATAAAGTTGATTTCAAAATATTATCTAAGATAATTCTGAAGTTATTTGATTGAGAATTTTGGATATGTTTTAGATCTTGAAGTCTAGTTTTCAATAAATTAAACAGTTTGTAATTTTGACGTTCCTACACCAAGATATGAATTTTTTTGTGAGACTACGCAAATCTAGAATTGATAGCGTGGTGCAATATAAAGTTAATTTCAAAATATTATCTGGGATGATTCTGAAGTTGTTTGATTGAGAATTTTGGATATGTTCTAGATCTTGAAGTTTAATTTTCAAGAAATCAAACGGTTCATAATTTTTACGTCCTACACCAAGATATGAATTTTTTTGTTGAGACTGCACAAATCTGGAATTGATAGCGTGGTGCAATATAAAGTTGATTTCAATATATTATCTGAGATGATTATGAAGTTGTTTTATTGAAAATTTTGGATATGTTCTAGGTTTTGAAGTCTAGTTTTCTTTAAATCAAACGGTTTACAATTTCGATTTTTTTACACCGAGATATGAATTTTTTGGTAAGACTGCGCAAATCTAGAATTGATAGCGTAGTGTAATATAAAGTTGATTTCAAAATATTATCCGGGATGATTCTGAAGTTATTTGATTGAGAATTTTGGATATGTTTTAGATTTTGAAGTCTAGTTTTCGAAAAATTAAACGGTTTGTAATTTCGATATTTTACACCAAGATATAGTTTTTTTGGTGAGACTGCACAAATCTAAAATTTTTAACATGGTGAAATCTAAAGGTGGTTTCAAAATATTATTTGGGGTAATTCTGAAGATGTTTGATTCTAAGTTTTGGATATATTTTAGATGTTGAAGTTTAATTTTCGAGAAATCAAACGGTTTATTATTTAGACTCTCCCACAACAAGATATGAATCTTTTGTTACAAGCACGTAAAGCTGAAAATTATGCGACTAAGATAAAAGTCGGACAATGTAAAGTAAAAGAGAAGCTGAAATATTTAAGCCCTCCAAGTCTCAAGTTGAAGTCTTCAAGTCCTTCGGTCTTTAAGTTTCAATCTTAAAATTCACCGATCTTAAGGTTGAATTGTTCAAACCCTCCGAATCTTCGAGTTGAAGTCTGCGAAGTCCGCCAAATCTTCAAAGTTTTCCAAGTGTTCAAGTCGATGTCGTCTTCGAGTTGAAGCTTTATAACTTCCAATCTTAAGGTGGATATATAAGTCCCTTTGTACCTTAAGTTGGCCTCTTCGCGGGTTTATCCTTAAAAGGAACTATAACTTTCCAATCTTAAGGTGGACATATGAGTCCCTTTGCACCTTAAGTTGGCCTCTCCTATAGTCGGGCCGTTTTGAGAGTAATCTCTCTGATAATCAGGCCACATTGAGAGTAATCTCTCCGATAGTCGGGCCGTTTTGAGAGTAATCTCTCCGATAGTCGGGCCGTTTTGAGAGTAATCTCTCCGATAGTTTGGCCACATTGAGAGTAATCTCTCCGATAGTCGGGCCATATTGAGAGTAATTTCTCTGATAGTCGAGGCACATTGAGAGTAATCTCTCCGATAGTCGGGCCACATTGAGAGTATCTCTCCGATAGTCGAGGCACATTGAGAGTAATCTCTCCGATAGTCGGGGCACATTGAGAGTAATCTCTCCGATATTTGGGCAAGGATAAGTACTCATCCCCTCACACCCCGAGATTGTCTTCTTCATGCGTGGATCATCTTGTTGAACAAGAACATATCTTTCTCACTTGACCTACAAAAAAAGACAACAAAGAAGAAATTACCTGCGCATTAATGCTCCCGAGTCCGCAAAGCTAGTCTCAATTTGCTTGTAGATTCTGCGAATTGATGCTCAACAAATATGAGCATATGACTTTAAATAGATCTTCATAGATGGCTTTCTATGGCATATTGCATGATGTGGGATCGTGTAAAAGGCAGTGACTATTACCTGTTTCTGACATGGACTTGGTGGGGACTCTTCCGTATCAAAATAGAAGTCAATCAAAGCTATTTGGTTTAGAAAAGGATTTGGAAACATTCGACATCAAGCTGTGTGGTAAGAATATGTACACATTCATAAGAATTAATGCTTGCTTATGACTCTTCAAAGGATTTATGAGTAAGAATTTCAAATGGAAAAGGTTGTCACGTATCATCAATGTTTCAGTAAAGCAAAAGTGAAATGCATCGGCAAAGTTGAAGTGTAAATGCCAAAAGTTTAAGCTTATATGGTTTTCCATTGTCATCTTAAAAGATGAATTTCTATTATAAGCAAGTTTCGAGCAACTGACAAGATTTTTGTTACAAAATATTGCCTAGACTAGTAAATTGGGGCTTCAAAATTATCCCATTTGATGTCTTCATAATACTTCAATCCTTGTCTTAAGTTCGACATGTTTAGGACTGGCAAGTCTTGAAGTAGGGGGCATTTGTAGGCATATAAAGTTTACATAAATAAAATCCATAAAATAATTTGGACTATATTTTAAATTCGAGATATATTGGTCCAAATATATATATATTATGTGCTAATATAATTGGATTAATTATATAAGTCCAACATATATGGATTAAATAAATAAGTCTTAATCCCTTGGGCTAGCCCATTAATTTGGGCTAAAGTGCTGAGCCCACTTCATTTAGCCCAAGATGTCATCTTCCTAGAGGCCTAATTTGGTGCCACGTGTCAAATGATGTGGCGCTCCAAGTCAAACGGAAAAGCCAATAGGATTGTGCCACGTGTCAAAATGACAAGGCATGCCAAGTCAAATTAAAGGGCCAATGAAACTGCGTCATGTGTGCAAGTGACATATTTCGGCCAATCAAATGCGGCCATGTCACACTGCAAAATTATTGGTCGGAAAGAGTTTGTTCTTATCACAACTCCTCCCTTCTACAACTATAAATAAGGGTTTTCATAACTCAGAAAAGACACCAGAAGTATAACAAGAAACAAGAGAGAGCTCGTGGATCAAACGCCGCAAATTTCTCTACAAGTTTCAAGCTTCAAGCAATCAAGTTCAAGTTTAAAAAATCAAGTCCAAGCTCAAGAACGAAGAACGAATCAAGATCAAGTTCAAGCAGTCAAGCTCAAGCTCAAACTCAAGAACAAGATCATCGTTCGTGGAAACAAATATAGATTCAAGATTAAGCTCAAAGGCCCTTGAATTTATTTTATATTGAAAAAGTAGAATCAGAGGATTCATAGAGATTGTACACTCAAATATTCGAAATCAAATACTATAATTGTTGCGATATTTTTCGGTCTTGATTTTATTTTCTCGACGCAAATTTATTGTCTACACAATTTTAAAGTAATGTCCATCTTTCTTTTACTTGTCATCAAATAAACTCTTTAATAAAATTTATTTTAGTTTTTAAGTTTCAAATTGATACGTCACTTAAGAAGAAGAGTGAAAAGTTATACTTTTTGGTATGAGAATATTTAAGTCAAAAGCGTGTTTTAGTAGTTGAATTAAAATTATTGGTTAAATATTTGGTGTTGAAGTAATAAATTTTAAAAGGAAAGAAATTATAAACTAAAATCTTACTCGGTTTCAACTTCTTAATTATATAAGCTTGTACATAGTTCGAATATGGAAAAATTTAATCAATAAATTTTAATTGATTTTATAATCCTAAATATTAGGAAAATAATTATGACTATTCCTAAATATTAAAGAATTAATTTAATTAATATTCCTAAATATTAGGTTATACATTAAAAACTAAAAGGCTATTTTGTCCAGTGTGAACTTTATTTTTAAAGGGTAAAAAAGACGAACGACATTTTGCTAAGGGTCTTCGTGATTTTAATATAGTATATATAAATAGATAAATATAACGATTTAAAAAGAGCATTTTCTTAAATTCAAAATTGTAAGGACGTGATCTAGAAATCGTTCCAACTATAAACAACAAAACAATTATGGTTGTTCAATCCCACATGAGTTAGAGTCCACTATATATATCTTCATTGAGCATATTTCTCATTTGAGTTGGGGGAAAAAAATACAAAAATCCCATATTGATTACCATTAAAAGTTTTTTTTTTTCTAATGGAAGGAACCATATGACTGATGGAGACTATACAAATTTGAAACCTTAAAGGCATATGTTGTCAATCCCATATTGAATTGGGTCAAAAGTTACGACACCATACGTTGGGGCCAACTCCGCAATTAATCGAAAGTTGCATTTTCCTGATACGGTCCCTGCAAATGCGGAACAAAACCGGATTCTCAGATTGACCGGAGAAGCAAGGAAGGAAACTAACAGCACATCATCAGCCATGGGTTCCGATCCTGAAAAGTTGATGACCAAAGCCGATAAACTGTAAAAACCTCACCTACCACCTCTATTAATTCTGTATTATCTATTTATGAATCATTTTCTTTCTATATTTCCAAGATTCAATTTTTGTCAGATAAATTTGTTGTTATATAACAATTTTAAGGTTGTCTGACCAAATCTTTGTAAGAGGGTGCCGCTTTCTCTATGTTACTGGTGTAAATATGGTATAATACACACTCACACGCTTATACAGAATATATACATGTAATTGTCTTAACTTTTAAGCTGTCTATAAAGGGCATATTTTGTTATAATTTTAAGAAATGTTTATGAGAGTGGTAACGGAATGTGCATACTTTTTTCCCATCGTGTGATGTTTAAGCACTTGATTGAGCTAATAAAATTTCCATTTTCTTGATCAGATTTTGATATTCTATTATTTATTACGCCGTCACCAACCAGTAAAATAGTGTTCTGATTAGAGATTGGAGCATCTTGTTACTCGTTTGGTCTTTATTAACGTTAATATTTCCATTTTCTCGAATAATATTTGGATTTAGGACTTGAAAGCAAATTTTTTAGTTAATGCGCTTGATCTGAGAGATTAGATGTAGTTATGGCGGTGCAAAATACCATATTCGAGATCATGTACTTGTCGTGATGCTGGAAGAATTTTCTGTTCTTTGATGCAAAGTACAAAAAGAAGCCTTTGTATATTTAATCCTCATTTCTTTCCACGTTTTAAGTTTTATGTAATTATTTGTTCCCCTATCTGTATAGGACAAAATTAAGTTTTACCAGGTGGAGTAGCGATTGGAGAAGTGCTACTGTTTTATATGAGCAGGCAGGTATGTACGATATTTATATTTGAGTAAAACAAATGTTACATAAATTGGAACACTTTGAGCATGTTAATCACGTGACTGACACTATGTTCTTGCATTACAGCTAATGGATTTAGGGTTGCTAAAAGTTATGAGAAAGCAAAAGAAGCATTTGAGAAAGCTTCAAAAGGACAAGAGATGCTTTCCTCGTATCCTTTTCCCCAATCAGTTTCTCTGAATTTTTCTTGTCGTTTGTCGATTGAGTCGGTTCTGAGATCCTTGACAAGTAAATCAGGCCTTGGGATGCTGCTAAACATATGGAGTCTGCTGCTACCATGGCGAAGGAACTAGGCAACTGGAAAGAAGTTGCTGACTTTTATAGAAGGGCCTCTGAGCTGTACAATGAATGTGGGAGGGCGCAACCTGCATCTGACGCGCTTGGAAAAGGTGCACGGTATGTCGCCGACTCATTTGGTTGCATTTATCTTTAATGCTATTGCCCTTTCATTATGTGCCAGGTTCAGTGCACAAAATTATAAATCCACAACAAACTCATATTGAATATTTCAGCTTTTATTCCATTTATTTTGTTTCCAATTTAGTGCAAAAAAGTGGGAGGTTGTTATTGTAAATTGCTTATTACCAGTTTACAACCCAAAAACTGTCCAAAAGTGCAGGGGTCTATGGCACAATCTGTTTTATGCTATATCAAGTACAATTTAGTCTTATCTGATTATAGATTTAGAGAATCCCCGATCCTAGGGAACCCCTTGTTTAGATCTGGAAAACGGGAGGACTGATATAGCAACCCTACCTAGTTCGAGATTGAGGTGTAGATTTGTTGAATCTGATTATACCATATCAGTGATTAACTAGTTTCTGTCAGTTGTTTGACTTGCATTTTTGCAATTCCTTGAACAACATTCAGCCGTATTTTAAGTAATGATAAATAAAGATACCTCCGCCTAGACTTCAAGTTAATTTAAAATATGTTTGTAGAAACCCGGAAGTGAGAATAAACATTGATTATTCCGTAGCGCATATATTAACAATTGCTTCTGTATAATGTGCACTATACGGAATCCACAATTTGCTGGTTGCCTTATTCCAGTATATATCTTAAAGTGGTCAATCGACTTTAAATATCTCGCATTAGATGATTAGATCTTGACAGGATTTAGGAGAAAAGGCAAGCGTGATATATTGCTAGGCTGATCAGAATTAACAGAAGTGTTGAACTTTCTCATTGCTGAATCAAAAAGGTTTCTAATGCTAATATGCAAAAAATCAATTAAAGTGATATTCATGATTAGTCTCATGATATAATATCGATGTTGAACAGCTAAGTACCAAATTAAGCCAAGTTGTGCTTAAAACTGAACTAGAGACCAAACTCAAGAGTCAAGACAAGAGGTTTTGAGTTCCATTTATGTTGATCCGACCTGTTCAGCTACTGCTTACATCAAAACTTAATTCTACTTTCCAGAAGTACAGCTAAGAAAAATGCAGGAATAATAGCGAAAAATACTGAGGAGGTACAACAGAAATCTAAGAGTGGATACAATTCAAGCATTTCACTGTTTCAATCAAAGCAAGCTTAATGAAACCATTTATTTTTTTTACATTTTAGATGTCACGTCATGCAATTGTTATTAAAAGTTACCACTAGGTGTCTTTCCTCGCACCATTGAAGAACCCCAGAATGGAAATTGAATAAAGTCAAAGAGGAAGAACAGAATAGGGTGGACTGGGCATGGGAAATGCTGGAAAGTTTGAAAAGGGGTTAAAGAAGAACAGAAGATTGAAGAGTGAAAGCCGTGTTCTCCTGTGGAGTTGGCTGATGTTCTCAAGTAGATACCCTAAGAGGGGAGTCTGAGTGTTCTAGATGTCGTGGCTTCCCGGCTTTATGTGCTAGATTGATCGTTGTGAAACAAAGAAATGGGAAAAGCGGATAATGACTGGAACAATCCGACTATGCCAGTTTTGTGTTTGGCATAAGTCTAAATTCTGTGCTTAACTGGCCCTGTTTCTGTTTCTCTTACTAACCTGTTCAATGGGAAACTCTGGTTAGGGAGGGGGTAATTTTGGTGGTTCTAACAGTTTCCTATAATATCAAGTTCTTACTGTAGATTCTTTTTATATGTTTGATACTTTTTCCTTTTGCTTGAGATTGAAACAATGTGTCGTATCTGATAAAAGGTTGTTAATGTTATAGTGCTTTAGAAGATGGTGCACCTGATGAAGCTGTTCAGTTGTATATTGAAGCCTGTGACACTCTTGAAGAGGATGGGAAGGAACAAATGGCCTTTGATCTATATCGTGATGCTACAAGGGTTTATCTGAAGCTTGAAAAGTGAGAATTACATTTAAGGCAGATATTACTTCTAGAAGTTAGAAGTTGATGTATTAATCTAATATATCTTTTAACCTCTTTCTTTTCTTTCTTTTTTACCTTCTAAATATAAAAATAGTCATACCTTGTTGAGCTAAAAGGTCACAACCAAGTTGGAGCGACTGTGACTTTCTATACATCGGAATTTTGTTAACTTTTAGGTCTCCCCAATGTAGACCTAAAAAAAGAGTTCACATCTTTAAATCTACAAACTTTTAGGTGGACCAATTTGCACCATTTCTCCCCTCCTTCTCATCTTTTCTAAGCTGAGGGTCTATTGGAAACAACATCTCTACCTTCACTAGGTAGGGATAAGATCTGCATACACACTATCATCCGCAGACCCCACCTGTGGGAATATACTAGGTTTGTTGTTGTTGTTGTTGTTGTAATCTGCCAACTTAATAATATATCTTCTAGTGGTCCTGGTTTTGAGCCTAAGATACCATGTACTATCAAAAAAATATTCATGTGTTTGGTCTAGGAATAAGAATCAGACCCACACGTGAGGGGCGTTATACAAAACCTAAAGAAAATTAATAAAAGTGACTCATTTCTAACAGTAGTTTTAATTGAAGCGGTTCACACAGATTCTACCTTTAGTAAGTGATGATGACTTTGATTTCACCACATGCAGGTATGAAGATGCTGCAGGTATCCTATTAAGGTTGGCATTAGCTGCTGACAAGTGCAACGCAACACACAGCCAGTGCAAGGTTTGAAAGCCCTTTAGTCACATTTTCATCTACTGAACACTACTTTGACATTATCTTGTTTAATTCTTGGATAAAGAAAGTCTAGCAAAGTCCATGTNATTGTTGAACACTACTTTGACATTATCTTGTTTAATTCTTGGATAAAGAAAGTCTAGCAAAGTCCATGTTTGTTATGCCATAGCCTTTGAAACCCAGAATTTTTAGTCTGTAGTTTCCGCATTCTGAAGGAATGGTTACTACTGCAATTCTTCATTAGCTACAACTATTTGCAATGTGTTTGAACAATAATAAATGGCAGTTTTTGCTTCCTTCCCAAACCAACGATCTCTCTCTCTCTCTCTCTCTCTCTCTCTCTCTCTCTCTCTCTCTCTCTCTCTCACACACACACACACACAC